AAAAAAATAAAATAAAAAAAAATAATAATAATAATAATAATTAAATTGGCAAATAACTCACACCCAAATGTACATATACACATACATATATTAGTTCATGCGAATTGCTCGCAATTACACATTAACATTCGCAATTTGTCGCGGTTGTCATTGCCATATCAAACAGTATATGCTGGTGTGTTGTTTGTGTACTTTGCTTAATCCACCACTGTGCGATTTGTATTTACAGATTAATGGCAATGACATGACGAACGCCTGTCATGACGCTGCGGTGCAATGTCTCACTGAGCCACAACGCTTTGTGCGTCTGGTGTTGCAGCGCGAGTACCGTGGACCCTTGGAGGCACCGTTGAGTCCACGCAGTCCAGCTGTTTTGAATTCGCTCAGTCCTTCCGGTTACCTCGCCAATCGACCAGGTACATAACAACGCAATCAGAAGCTGTTTTACACATTTCTTCTGTTTTTAAATTTAAAATCGATTATCATTTCTGTTTTTTTTTATTATTATTTCCTTGTTTTATTTTTTTTGTCTTCGCACTTTGTTTCTACTACCACAGCGAACTTCAATCGCTCCATCGGCGACATGATATCAGAGCAAGCACAAACTAATCTGCAACACACGCCCACAGCGGCACCCATACTGGCACAGCAACAGCAGCAATATCCTGCTCAGCAACAATTCAACTACACCACCCAGCCGTCGGCTTACGAAATAAATAAAACTGCTACGATACCCAGCGCTACAGCAGCAGCAGCACCAACATTAACTAGCGCTAGTGTAGGCGGTAGCAATGCCCCGAAAACAAATGGTTTTACGACTGCGGCAACCACCGTGCCATATCAACAGCCACAGCCACAGCAACAGCAGCAACAAATCGATAAGGTCACGGGTCAACCAGTGCCAGCTCCCAGGCGCGCAAATTCCATACCTTTGGGAGATGCGCCAGCGGAAGCCACACCAGCCAACGGTAATGCTGCACAGCCCCCGGATTCGGCGAATAAGCCGACAGCGACACCGACACCGACTGCCGGCCCGAACCCGGCCGCAGATGCTTCTGCTGAAACTCAGGTATGTAAAAGCGAAGGTTTGATTTTTTTCCTTTTCTCCACATTAATCAGTATTAATTGTGTGTCTGTCTGTAACCGATTTGTATTGAATACGTTACATAGTTACATAAAATACGCATTGGTCGTTAGTTAAACACATAATTATTGTTTGTCAGTCAGTCATCCATACACCAACCATTCAATGTATGTACTCATTTTTTAGCGCGCAAATATTCGAAAAAAATACCTTTATAATATTACCTGCTCGTCTTGCTGACAGTTGCTGATAGCTTCAAATTTATACATATTTCATGCGCTTAATTGCTTCAATTTAATCGTATAATATTTGTATTAAAGTAATTTGAGTTATGTTGCTTTACCATTCATACAGTCGCGTGCATACCAAGCATTACCCTGCACCTCGAGTATTGTATAAGTGCATTTGTATTTGTACCAAACACTAATTTTGAGCTAAAGGTTTCGAAATTTCGACAATGTGAAAACATAATTTACCGTTAAAATTGCAAATTACCGAAAAGGTAAGTGTAGGCAGGGTATTTTTAAGATATATAGGTTAGAATAAGTCTTTAGAAAACAGAAATATATATTTTGATAATTTTGTGCGCTTAGGAATATAAATACTACTAGCTTATTAGGCACATTTTATACCGTTAATTTTGACATTTTGCCTTTTATATATTTCAATTCGAGTATTTTCAATATTTTTGTATATTCTTTTAAATAAATTTTCATTTTACATAAATATATCTTTAGGACATTTAAATAATTTTCCAGCTATTTGGGTTCGAGATATTATATATTCAACACATCAGAGATCGTAGCACAGAAAGAGAATTCTACCGATTAAGGGTTATAATCCGGAGCGCGTACGCGGCCGAAGCCTGCAGGTTCTGAACGTACAACGCCACCTTTCATAAAATATAGTTTTTTTGTTTTTAATTACTCAACTAAAATCCAGAAATTTAACATTCGGTTCGTAATTTTTTCTACTTTGGGATCTAGGAACCACAGCAACAATTTTTTTTTGTTAAGTGAAATACTTAAATTTCTTCTGTCTGCATTTTGAATTGCCGTCATCTTGATTTCTCTGTATTTTGTTTGTCGATGTTTTGATTATAAGAGTTTTCAATTTCGAAAATCAGTTCAGTCGTTCTTAAGTTAACATGTTCATGGTTTAACTCACCTTTTTTATATAGAGAAATGGTTGATATTGTTGCTGTTGTAAGGTTATCTAGTCACCCGTTAATTCATTGATAGATAAATGGTCATATGTAAGGTAGCTTTACAAAGTTTCAGAGAAGTTTTCCGGTAGAAGTTTCAAAACACGTTTAAAATTTTCGAAGCAGATTACACTAAGTTACAATTTTTTTAAAAATTCAATCGTATCTCCAAAACTATTTGCCAGATCAACTTAACATTTACGAAGAATACTCTCAACTATAAATATCTACATTCGATACACTTGTGCTAATCGATTTTTTGAAATTTACAAGTTGATGTAACACCTTAATGTTTCACCGAATGAAAATAAAATATTATAAATTTTTCGGTTAATTTCCCAGCAAATTTCGTTGCGAAATAGCTCGACATTCTTAATTTAATATTACTAATTAAATAAGTACCTCTTAAGGGTCTCTCAGAGAATCTCTTAATTTAGTCAATTAATAAATTGTTTACATAAATATGCTGATACATCTTAACTTAGTCAATTCGAAAAAAATTTATTTAATAAATCGTCTACATAAATACCAGTGAAGCCTTTTAGTTGAGTAATCTTGCAGATTGTTGAAAATAATTTACTAATAGATGCTCCTTATTTAGTCAATTAATAAATTCAGACAAATAGAGTCAATAAGCAAATTGTTCACATTAAAAGTTTTCTAGACTCTTAATTTAGTCAATTAGCAAATATTGTAAATAAACTGACACGTTCAAATTTAGTCAATCAGCACAATAAGTTAATTAATATAATAATATAATTAATTGTCTATATTAATGTACTAATGTAGCATTTGAATTGAGTCAGTTAGAAAACTGTCTACATTTATAGACCAATAGAGCCGCTAAATTCAGTTATTCAGCAAATTGTCTACAATAATAGACTGATAGACTCTAATTTTACTTAAAGTAATCTGGCATATGACCCCAAATATAGTTAGTTGAGTGACACAAATCGTATTTTTCCCGTTATCCCACTGTACCATATATTGAGATTAGAATAGATTAATTTGAAAGTTGGACAGGGTCACCTTTAGAACTTTTAGGTTAGAAAAAGTACGAAATTTGACTCTTAAAAGTTAATTATCAGGCTTGACTTGAAACGAAGCTCATTTGGCATTGTAAAATTATCAGAGTTTTATAATTAATGTATGTAAAATTTGTTTAGTTCGAAATGTTTATTCCTCGTTTTGACAGCTTGCATCGGCATTACAATGGATCTATGATAAAATATTGTGCTTAACCCTAATTTTTTTATAAATTTTTCGGCTTTGGTTGTAACTTAACCTAAATTTATGACGAAAAGTAATAATAGCCTAAGTCGACTGTGTGCGTTTTTTATTTTATTTTTCATATTGACATTGGATTTATGTCAAAAATATTGTGCTGAACTTTAATTGTAATACATTTCTGTAACATAATCTAATTTTATAACGAAGAGTAGTAGTATACATATATGTTTTTTAGTTCTGAAATTTGCATTAATTTCTAAAAATAATAAAAATCTCAGTAAATAACTTTAGAAGCTGAAACAGTTTATTAAAATAGTTTTGGGAGCTTTAAAAATTATATAAAAAAACCGTATGATTAAAAAAAAATATTAAAAAAAATTAAATAAATTAACTTACTAAAAATATAAAATAAAAAGAAGTAATAAAAAAATAAAATTAAAAAAAAATTTAAAAAATTAAATAAAAGAATTAAATAAAAAAATTAAATGAAATAAAAAAAAATTAATAAAAAATATCAAAAATATTATCAGATAATTATTAATAGTAGAATAAGCATAAATTTGGAAATTAAATAGTTACTATTTTTACCTTATTTTTATAATAAAAATTAATATTTGTTGTAGCGCTGCTATTGCAAGGTGAGTACGCGTTCAGAGTGGTTGGCAAAGTTTTGCGGTAAATTATGAATTTCATATTGCTTTTGCGTGTGGCACGCAGTTTTGCTTAATATTTGAACTCTTTCACCGGATAACAAGCAATTGTTGATGATATTTTTATTTTGTGTAATAATTTCCGCCTTTAATGCGGAAGTATATATTTTTAATGATTATTTACTTATACCTTTATTGTGTGCTAATCTAAAATAAATAAATAATCAAATTATTTCCAATTAACCGCAATATTGTGTTTGTGTTTGTCTATTGCATGAATACATAGAGCTAAATGTGTACTTGGACGAATTTATTACTGTATGTACTACTATTTTGCAGAGCCCAGTGTAAACTCCTGCACCCCATGGTATACATAATAATATAAACATCCTTTATTACACCTGTATAAACATATATACATACATATATTTATATATATGTATATAATATATATATTATATATACATATATTATATTAAATGTAACAATTCACTGCAAAATTTTTCTTTATGTTTAATCGGGTTCGTTCGCATTTCACTTACGTCTATTTAGGCCTATTTATTTATTGCTTAGTTTATAAATTTTAATTACGCAGGTATCCAACCGTCGAAGTTCGTTTAATTTGATATATTTTTGATTTATTCGGTCATTATTTTTATTTTTATTTTGCTAGTGTATCACAGTTATCACTTTGGCTAATTTAGACATCCTTATGTATGAATATATATGAGCGCAAAATTGCTTTAACACATCGACACAAAAAAATCTAGTTATTTAAGCCGAATTTATAACCCAAAAACCTAAACAAGCATTATTTTCTCTTTTCTTTCTTTTGATTTAATACAAATTTTTGAAACTCTTTAACCAAAACGCAATCCAACCAAACAATCAAACGCACGAAACGTCATTGAAAAACCCCACCAAAATGACAATTGCAATAAAAACAACAAAAACAAATATATATATCTATATCTAATCTTGTGTGTGAACTGCATGTAATGCTGGGAAACAATTTGGCGCTCAATGCAGGTGCCGCCGCTCCGGCCGCTGACTAGTGAAGATTTCCAAGCGATGATACCGGCGCACTTCCTCAGCGGTGGCAGTCAACATCAGGTGAATGTGGCGCGTGGCAATGAGGTGGGCGTTGGACCCTCGGTCACCGTAACGGTGAATAAGGCTGTACCCGATCTGCCCATGTTCCCCGCGGCACCCACGGAGCTGGGTCGCATTACCGAAACAATAACGAAATCCACATTTACGGAAACCGTAATGACGCGTGTCACCGATAACCATTTAGCGGAGCCACTGATTAGTGAGGTGATTATCAAAAAAAAATATTGACCCATGAAGTAGACACACAAAGTACTTAACACAAGTGTGCACAAAATGCAGACAAAAAAAAAAAAAAAAATTACAACATACAGAAGTACAAGTAAAAGTAAGAAGAAAAACAAAAAAAAAACCTAAAAAAAAAATCAAAACAGTTGCAGCGCTACACTTTAAGTTCACACGGTAGTCGGCAAATGCGGGAAGCCTATCTTGCATATTTAGTTATTGATTTATTGATTGCACACTTATCCATGCATCCATGCCTACGCTATAACTTGCGGCATTATTCATGGTTTTCTCCAAATTAATTACATAATCTTCATATAGTTTGTTTTATTTTTTTTTTCTGTAAATAATTAAGAAGTTTCAACTGCGGCTGCTAACCGGATGCTTAGGCGCACCCAAATCGTATAACTAACTCTCATCACACAAACTCTTAATGGTCAATGGTTTTCAGTTACTTTTCGAGTAGTTAGTGCAACTAAAATATTTGCGGTGTCACTTGTAACGGTAGTTGTAAAGGTTATTGAAATGGGCGCTTATAATTATCCACATAAATACATACATACATACTTACGTGTAAGCATGCGCCAAATAAATAGTCGATAAACACCGTTATGAATGAAGCGTTTAAGTGTAAAAACAGATGGAGATTTTGTTTAAAAAAGAAAAGAAAAATATAAAGTATTTCCGAAATATTTCTACTATGGGAAAAAAAAAATAGTAAGACTTTGTTCATAAGTTCAAAATTCTTAATTTTTTCTTCAAAATCTATGTCGTACCCCTCAAAGTAAACGACCATGGTCTCAATACACTTGTAGCAAAGTTTTTCCCAATCCTCAAAAGGGTTGTTAAATTTAATTCTCAGAAAAGTCTTCAACGCGATTCACGTTTAATGTCGTCAATTCACTCAAAACGGTTTCTCTGGCCGAATGCACTTTATGTACTTCAGCAAGACAATCGTACTAATAATTCTTTTGATGTGACATTTAACACAGATGTCACTGACAGTCATACCAACCTAGAAAAAAAGTTTGGACAGAAGGGTTTTCGCGTAAAATTCAAATTAAAAAGTCTTACTATTTTTTGCCCATCACAGTTTATTTATCATTTTAACATTGCATGGAAAAATCAATGGTAGTTTCAAAATGTTTTTGTTTAAAAATTTCTCGAACCAAAAAAATGTTTTAAAAATTATTTTAAAATTTACAATTTATATTCCGTTATCTGTTTTCGCATTTGAATGCTTTAAAAAAAGTTCTTAGATATAGTTAAATGTATGCATGTAGATAATTATTTTACTTTATTTGAAGAGTTCTTGATTTTGTCAATGAATGAGGTTTATTATCTAAATAAAATTGCCCTTGTAAGTAACCGCACATCTACATACATACATCAATGTTATCGAATTGTTTACTAATTTTAAGCTGCGCTATGCTTTTTATGTAGTTTGTCATACAAACGATTCGGGAATTCAAACAATTTATTTAAGGTAGCATTTTATATACATCGTCACCTAAAATGCAAAACAACGTATCATTAGAATATCGAAATTGAGTTTTTTATTGCTTACGATTCACTCCATCATGTTACATATATGTATGTAGCATAAAATTTTCAGCTTCCGTGTCAATTATACCCAATATATAACTAATATATAACCAATAGATAACCACTTTATAACCAAAAATTAAATTTTGTTTCAATATGAGTGGTTTCTATTATATCGTTTTTCTTTCGCCTATAAACTTATGAGAAGTGATGCTACGTTATTTTGCATTTTAGGTGCCGATATGTTTGTAATGATATGCGCATTTTAGTGATATAAAATTACTTGAAACAAATTTTATCCGGCTCCCATCGCCGCAACGTTCTTAAATGATAGCTTTTCTTGAGAGTTAAGTTTATACCTTGTTACTTGAATAAGTTAGTTTTCATTCAGGTACTTTCATTTGTAGACTTTCAGTCATATCCGTTATGATAAATTTCTGTAGATGAAGGAAATATCGGCGAAACCAAGAAATATCTTAATAAATATAATTTCGTCTCCATGCAGGTGACTGGCTAGTTATAGAACTTGGTTTCACTGAAGGGTTGACAATTTTGTAATCAAAATTTTTTTGAATAAAATATTAGATTTTCAATTAAAAAAAATAAATTTAAATGTCAATTCTATTATTTTGAAATGCATACTAGCTGCAAATAACACGGAAGACACTTAAACACGTTTAATAAAAATATGAAGCCACACTTCATGCAAGTAATGAAATTCATCTCTCAATCTTAGTTAAAAATCATAAAAATTCCAAAGCGAAGCACATTTCTTCTCCCATATTTTAATATATATATATATTTTTTTTTTAATTAGCTGATGGAGTTTAGGATTTCAAAAAATAAGTTACTCTAATGCATTAATAATAATAATATTTATGAATAAGACTATGCGCAACCATTAAGCCATAAGAGGAAGTCATGTACACATATTAATAGATCTAGTAAAAAGAAATCCATTAATTTCGCTATCAACTAAAGATTTCATCTAGCATAGTTAGGATTATTTGATTTATAATAGGCCACTTGATAACTTGTTGCCCTTTCGAAGGCAATCAACTTCTCTTGGGGCGAACTAACAATAATCATGCATCATAGACAGTAAAAGGAAGTAATCTCTTAGTGCTGAGTCCGCATTATACGGTGGATAGATAAGAACCTTTCAAACAAGCTCCCGTTAATAATAATAATTCCATCTATTGGAAAAGTAATGGATTTCTGTTTACTAGGCCTCATGTTTTAGTTCCTGAAATAAATTCGGAAAAAATGATGGCATCTCTTTAAATAAGAAATATTTCTATATCCTAAGAAAAAATACTCTGAGAGTAAGTCCCAAAAGAATATTGAGAAACCACATCTAACTTCACATACTTCATATTTTCGTTTTAATCGAGGTACAGGTATTACTCTGTATATTTAAGGTAAATCATTGGTTCATTTTATTCTGTTCCAAATAATATGGATGAATTTTATGTAATCTTTCTAAATATTTATAATTGTTTACGAAATAAACTGGAATGAAGTTTTAACCAAGTTGTAGCTTTTGTTTTGTAGCTAGGTTACAAAAAATACTAAATAATGTTCCGTTTTCCCTACTTTTTCTAATTATAAAACAAGAAACTTCAAATTTTATGTGGAATGCTGTTTATTATTCGAAAGAACATTCTTTGGCATTAGTTTTTTGCCCGCGGCTCCGTGTTAAATGGGGGATTTTCCGCACAGACCTTTGATTTTACATATCCTACAGAAGAAAGGCTAACGGTCTGATATCACACGGACTTGATGGCCAATCGAGAGGCCCAAAACGTGAAATTATCTGCTCACCGAAGTGTTCTCTCAAAACATCTATTGATTGATGCGATGTCGCCCAGATCACGAGCTTCAATTTCAGTTACCAATTAGTCGTATCATGGCGCGATAAAAGTTGCCATTTACGGTTTCGTTCTCACCGGCATCACCTTTTAAGAAATATGGACCGATGATTCCACCGTCTCACAAACCAAACTGTTGTTTGTTTGGATGAAAAGTGACTCTTGAATTTCTTCAGATTGCTGAACAAAACTTGGCTTTCAAACGTCAGATCTTCTTGAAACTTTTCAAGAGCCTATAGAGCGAAGCGACGTGGTTTGGAAAGGTCGAGCGGGCTCAGTTCTTGCACAAGCTGTCATTTGTCGTACGCTTTCTCGACGTAAAAGTCGTTTCATGTGTCAGTTCAAGTTCCTGCGAAAGGCGCTGAGGCGACTCTCCACGGTCTTCGTCGGTCTCTCAGCTACGGCTGAGCATTATTAGCCAATAATGAATGCTGGGTCTTGCAATAGGTAATTGTGTTGCGAATAGTACGCTCAGTAGGCTGATTATGTAGACCATAAATCATAAATATACTTTTCACTAGGTAGATTAGAATAGTTCTGTAGCTTTGGTTAAATATATTCATGAAACACTCGCGCTTTCTATTACCGTCGTTTGCGATAACACTCTGCTTTGCCTTACTTTGAGTCTGACCTCCTCAACTTACCAGCAGTTACAGTCTTACTACAGTTTTCGAAAAAGTCACTAAATTGTTAGAATTAATTTCATTCGCAAATATTTTTCCTGCTTCTTTGGATGATATCATTTTGGCTGTTGGCTCTTAAGAATTATTATCTTCAAAGTGGGGGAAACTAAAACAAAAACTTTCTTAAATTGTGGAAGAAAATCGTGGCATATAATTGTTAGCTCCATTGCAAAGTTTTTCCCTTATTGGCAGAGCAAATGCCGCTGCTTGTAGATTACTAACGCAACCACATTGTGCCGCTGCTTTGGAGCAGTTTTCCTTGTGCTTTTACTTACTTTAGGATTTGCACTTTGTTAATATTATTAAACAAAAAGTTTAACCAAACTCTCTACTTCCTTTGTGGGTGCTCTTTTGCTGGCTGCGCTGCTTACTTTACAAAGAATAACTCAGAGCAACGCTCGTTTTGTTAATATTTGATATTTGTCATGTCTTATGGCTGAAGTGACGCATCTTGGCGTACAGCTGTTGTTGTTGCACACGCGTTATATGCGTCATATGAAGAGTAGACGACCGGCTCTCTTCAGCCAAGTAAATGCTTCATACTTACATATTTACATATTTATACATTTGCATACTTTATACTAAAAAGAGAAGCTTGTTTGCTGTCGTCTTCATATGACTGCTTTGGCCCAGCTTGACGTGTAAAATTTACAGGCGCCGAGAAATTAATTTAACCAGTAGATAAGCTCTCCGAAGTTTGTAGACATTTGAAGAGATTTCGGTTATAGAAATAGTTCGCTTAGGTTCTAAAAATTTAAAACGCTTACTACCAGCCACATACCTAGTTACAAGTTCAGGCCGTTCTAAAATGAAACTATGCTTCATGTTTTTTGTAAAGATATTTTATTAAACAATTATATGAACGATGTAAAAAACTGTAATCCAGCCCTCAAACCAACTGTCCAGTTATTTTTTAAGATTTTTTAGGACTCGCCAAGTTTATGTTGGGTATTCGATAGGCCATGTTCTCCAACTCGGATCGCATACTGTAGTCCAATGGATTCAAATCTGACTTCCCAAACGGCCAATAATGTTTCAATTGTTGAAAGGGTATTTTCAGAAGATGATCAGTTTACCGACGGTTGGTTCTGTCGAATAAGTCTTGACATTGACCTGATTGCCATATCCACTCCCTTTGATATAATTTTCTGTTTTATAAGGGTATTTGACGAGTTTAAGCGAGACGAGCTGAGTCGATTTAGTCATGACCGTCTGTCTGTATATCCGCGCACTATAACCTCAGTTTTTGAGATATCGATTCGAAGTTTAGCACATATTCTTTTCTCCCCAAAAGATTGCTCAGGTTCGAAACTGCCAATATCGGCCAACTATTTAATATAACAGCCATACAACCTACACGATCGGAACCGAGTGCTTGTATGGAAAACTGAACTGAACGATCGGGTATTATAAAAGTGTACAATTGTATGAAAATCGGTTGTTCTCGAGAAATCTTGTGACTTCAAAACCACAGTTTCGAACAAAACGTGTTTAAAGACGGCGCACTTAGCCTAGCTAGCCTCGAGCGCACATGCTCTCAAGGCTGTATCTCCGAAACTATTACTCGTTGGGTATGGTTTTTCTAAGTTGGACAATTAGGACAATATTCCAGAGGTGTTGTAGAATTTAATAAAACAATAAAAAATCGATATTTCGAAAACCATAAACCCATGTAACCTCTTATTACGACTTTCGTTGGGACTTTATTTTTATAAGCGACAGCAAACACAGAACTGACTATTATACATACATACATATGTGATTAGATACTAAAGTGTGTCAAAGAAAACGAATATTTTTCTTTAGGTCGGTACTCTGACTGAGTTCTTAATTGTAACGGGAGAGCCCCCGCATTACAGTTTTCAATCTATTTTCTTATTATCAGACAAAAATTTTCTTTTGTAGATAACATTGTTCGGCTATTTTCAGTAGGTGCTCGAGCTATTAATCGGTAATCAAGAGGCTACCAGTTTCACGTAATGGTTCAGTTTTGCGATCAAAAAAGTTCGTGCATTCCATTCACAAATAATAGTCGGAAAGTTTGACCTCGACATAATTTGGTCTTAAATTTGTTCAATTATTATATTATATCAGTTGTCTACGATACGCCATTTTTGATCGAAATTCAGGAGATTTGGTGATTGACTCTTGTGAAGAAATTTAAGAGACATAACTGGTGTAATAGCCTTCGAAAATGTCAACCGTGTTGAGAAATACATATACACTCAACAAAAAAATTTTTTTTTTAAATATTCCGGTGTAGATACTGCGTAATATACATATTTGTAATTTATACTTATTTATACAATTTAATTAGTAAATAATTAAAAAAAAAAAATCATGATAAAATAGGAATTCGCACTTGTTTTGTTATCGCATACGTTTTGTTTTGGCATCGAAAATCACTCAGCTCAGGTATTTCTTATCGCTTCTGTTAAATTTAAACATCGCTGTCATTATTTATATTCATATTACTAACTACTTGCATGCACAAATACATTCATACTTCAAGCACATCAAAATAAAAAAAATTATATGTAAATCGTCAAAAGCACGAAATCACTTAGGAAAAAGTTTCATCAAAGAACATTACTCCTATCCAACTGTGGCTTTCCGACAAAGCAACTTATCTTGACTTCTTGAGTCGTTTTATTGCCTCAAGCTGTAAGTGGAACTTTTGGCATAGAAAAATTGTCGCTTAAAGTATACTGCTTAAAGTCTTCTTGAAATATTTTTTTACATTAAAATATTAAAGTTACTGAAAAGAAAACCTGTTAAAGTCATATAAGACGTTTGGTAAACGGTCCATAGTTATATATGTACATATGTATCTATATTTCTTAATTTCTTTTGCTTTCATTAACATGGCTTTAGAAAACTTATTTATTAAGTGAATCACTATGTAATTATAATGTCTGTAAATATCACCAACAATTATCGCACACATCATCAACCAAACACTCATTGCGCTTTTCGAGAGTCTTTCAAAATTTGATTTTCTGTAAATTGTAAACGATTTGTTCAAAAAGAATACTGTATATATTATTTCACATTCCTAACTATTGTAGACGGCACATTAGTTCAACATTTTCATTTTATTCAAATTATAGGAAGTTATCTTGCCGAAGAACCAAGGGTCGCTGGGCTTCAGCATCATTGGCGGTACGGACCATTCGTGTGTGCCGTTCGGTTCACATGAGCCGGGCATATTTATATCGCATGTAAGTAACCAAAAATATATCTTTAAACTATTAATTGTTATACTATACTTAAGTAACGAAAATGTGTTGAATTGGGGTTTGATTTTCTTTTTTGCTTTCATTCTTATTTGAAACGCTAATTCAGTGCACATGTCGTCGGGCTTTGTTGCAAAATTTTAGTATATAATTTATTCGAAATGCTTAGGCATGCCTTAAGGGGTTACTTGGGTTTCCTCGGTTAAATAATGAAAAAAATATTTTAAACTTGGCTTTGCGACGTGATTTCCGGAAAAAAGATGCGTTCGCGATGGCAGGATAACTCTACAGGAACATCTAAAGTGAAAAATATGAGTTGTAGTTAAAACCTTAATTTGGAGCTTGGACAAAAGTAAACAAAACTGAAAATTGGATTATTGGCTGCCATTTTAACCAAAAAAAAAAAAACAAAGAATTAGTGAAAATTTCGCGACACAAATATTTGTAATCGAAAAAATCCTACGTCCAAGTCGTTCAGAAGTGTATCTCAAATAGCTTTGTAAAATTTCATGAAGATCGCTTGAGCAGTTCTCGAGAAATCTTGCCAACCGACTTCAAAATTACAGTTTCGAGAAAAACGTGTTTAAAGAAGACGCCAGCCTCGAGCGCACAAATTCTCCAGACTGTATCTCCGAAACTATTATTCGGATCAACTTGAAAATTTAGGACAATATTCTAGAGATTCTGCAGAATTTAATAAAACAAAATTTTGAATTTGAATTTTTTAAACCTGTAAACCCATGTAACCCATTAAGCAATTAAAAGTTTGTAACAGAAATTTTCTTTACTGCCTAGCATGAGATTTGATCGAACAAATATTTTTCCTTATTATAATATAAATATTTATTCTCGCCTTCAAACTAGGCTCCACAGTCAATACAAGCAGGACAACATTTAATCTAATACACTTCTTTCGGCTCGTTTTTGGTGCGCCATACGCTCAATTATTGGACAGTTTGGACGTGTTGTCACCAGTAACGACCCGTTTGATGAGTGTGAGGTCCTTAGCTACGCTGTCAAATATTTCTTTTGCGTCCTCTACTCGCCCTCGTTTTTGCAAAATACTCAGGTCTTTTGGTACGAGTCTGGCATTATCAAAATGTGTTGAGTCGATCCATAAGATATATTGAGATCCTCTGCTATGTCTCTCATGTCGACACACATGCTTTTTTCGACGTTATCGCCATTAACAGTGTCGGATGGATGACTCACATGTGGCAAGTTTTCGATGAGGACCTTTACTGAATGCTTTGTGCCACTCAAATAATTGTACTCGTAATAAAGTAGAATTTAATTTGCGACATTTTTAATGATTTTGTGACCTTGATTCAATTTTTTATATTTATCTTATAAAGTGTGATCCATTTCCAAAGTAGAAAACTTTTTTAAAGAAAACACAGAACTAACTAACTAAACATACATTCTTTATCATTTATATTTGAAGTTTATCTCTTTCAAATGTTGACCGCGGCTCCTCTCAGAGGATCTATCCGTTGAGTTAATTTTTCGAGGTTTTCGACTAATAACTGGCGAGTGACACGCGTGATATTTTTCTCCAAAGCCTGAAACGAAGTGGGATTGTCCACATAGACTTTAGGCTTTTCATATCTCCACCGGAAAAAGTTAACGGCGAGATATCACAAGATCTTGTTAGCCGATCGACCGACCCAGAACATAAAATTATCTGCTCACCAAAGTATTCTTTCAATAAATCTATTGATTGATGCGATGTGTGGGAAGTGGTGCCGTCCTTTCGCCGAGATCATGAGCTCCAATTTTATGCATCAAATAGTCGTATCGTAGCGCGATAACGACTGGCATTGATGGTTTCGTTCTCACCGTTATCATTTTTGAATAAATATAGAGCGATGATTCTATCAGACCACAAACCACACTCAAACGTTGTTTTTCTGGATGAAATGGCAGCTCTTCTGTCTCTTTAGGTTCCTCTTCCTTCCAAATGCGTCAATTTTGCTTGTTTACATACACATTGAGCCAGAATTTGGGTCAAAAACGTTGAACCATTTGTAAAGTAAGTCTTTAAATTATGAAATGCCAAAAGATCTGAACAAAAATAGTCACGCGTGTTAATCACATTCTATTGAGAAAGCACATCTACTTGTAACTTCCATTACAAAAAAATTCTATCACGAAATTTGTTGTGATCTTATCTTTTTATGTTCAAAACACATAGTTTTTTTATTTTTTGTTTTTGTTTACAAAAGTTTTTTATCCTGGTCTAACGCGCTAATCCTCTTTGGAAAAACACTTAAACTCTAGTTCAAAATATTATGGGCTTATAGCAATTTTCTGTTACTTAATTGTATACAGTATGTATTATATATTGCATACAATATATTGCCTACGATAAAAAGTGTTGAAATTACACCTCTGTACATTCTGTACACTTCTCCCTTCATTTGCATTTGTCGGCGAAAAATATGTGTTGAAAAGTTATATTTTGACATATGTTATGTTTGTTATTTTAATAAGCGGCAATTTTTCATTGTCAGCTACGCTTAATCCACACATATTTTACATACAAACATAGCTACATAATTTGTAAGTATATAGGCAGTAAATAACGGCTGAATGCGCCAAATGGAAGTCGCTCCCACTTCTGCAACATTCTTGTGTTGTGTTGGCATGTAATAAAGTTTTGTGCTGGACTTTTACATAAATTACACAAGTGTTTACTAAAGTTTTCATTTGTTGCTTGCGCGTTTCATGCGCTTATCCCTGCCGGCACAAATGCAAATGAGCGAATGCAATGCGAGCAGGCTGCTTATGTAGTGCCAAGCGCTTTGTAGCTTAAGTACGAGCGTTAGCTTAAGTTTAACTTTATTTTTAAAGTTTAATAACTATAAACAGTCCAATTTAATCACTAATGTAGCTAATGGAGTTTGTTACTTATTAAATTTTGTATTTTCATTTGCTTAATCGAATTGCAGGTCGTGCCCGATGGCATTGCACACAAATGCGGCAAACTGCGTATGGGCGATAGGATTTTGAAAGTGAACGACGTGGATATATCGCGTGCCACGCATCAGGAGGCTGTAATGGAATTACTGAAACCGGGCGACGACATCAAGCTGACCATACAGCACGATCCGCTGCCACCTGGCTTCCAGGTAAGCAAAGAATGTCGAGATAAAAAAACACAAATATTTTTCGATGTTTTGTCGAGAATTGCTTAGTTTAAGCTTCATTGTGCTTGTAGTATAAATAAATACATACAGTTATATAACATGTAGTAGCAAATATCATCTCATAGCAAAGTATTATTTGTAAGCAATTTCGCTAAAACTGCAAAAAATATTAGCTTATACTACATATGTAGCTTGTTTTTTTCTCACTATTGCAAAATATTTACACCTTTTTCCTTTTTTAATTGCAATATCCAAAGATTGAGGTAGAAATTTTACAAACTGAGGTAAGCCGCTTTTTGTTTGGATTATTCACTAAGTGTTTCTCTAAATGTTTCTAAAATTCTTATTGATTTTTGTTGAGTTTATGAATGAGTTCCGTTAAGACCGAAAAGTTTTCCAAGTTCTGATATTTTTTTAATTACAAAAACTTTTTTTTTTAACATTTACAAGGGTTTTCTAAATTGCATTGTTCATTTTACTGCGAACTAAACATTATTAAAGACCTAACAATATATATTTAAAACTAAATATTAAGTTCGACTCGTTATACGTTTCTTATTCATTATCAGCTAAGTTTTGTAGCAAGTAAGCAATTTGTTTGATTTATTTTAATATTAGTTAGCTGCAAAGCAAAATATGATGGAAAAGCTTTATTTCGAAAAAGCTCTTTTGGGATTTTGGGTGAAGGCGAAAAATTGCACGAAAGTGGCGTTTTATATTCATATATTTATGGATGTATTTGCGGCGAAATGTAAAAGTGGACTTAAGTGGACTTAAGTCAGTAACTAAGAATCACAAGCAACACATTCAAGTTACAATTTGATTGTAGTAAAATTAAAATACTTTGCCCAAACTTGAGCTGCTTTTACATATTGTTTATTTATCATATATATTCTAGGTTTATACAAGTATACATACATAAATATATCACTGCTGCATGCAAAGTATTTTTTGAAGAGAAGCGCTGCCAATAGATTTTGTTACTCAAATTGAGTTATGTGCTTTAAAACATTTTATAAAATTCGCAACAACAAAAAATCAACAATGTGAAATCCGAATGCATTTTATTCTAAAAAAAGCTTGGCCAAAGGAATTTTTTTAAATAAGTGTTAATTTTTTGTCAAAATTCTTTCGTTCAATGGAGCTTTTCATTGGTATGGTAGCAGGCTTTTTTTTTATCATTGGGATATACAATATGTGCCCTAAAAATAACCGAACTTTGTTTTTAAATCATACAACATGCGGCGTTTTCTAAAATTTTCAGCGGTAAGAGGTTACTACATGGGCTTCCATGGGTAAAAAGCAGCATTTTTAAAATTTTCTTTTCATATGAAAATTAAAAATTTTATTAGCGTTTCTTATGGTTACAAACATATACTACTAACAAAGAAATTCTGAAATGTTTGGAAAAAATATTTTAAACCCCCTGAGGGGGGGATAGCTCCCTACAGTATCATCTGAAAAAAATACGTTAAAATCTTAACTTAGTAATAGGCGAAGGAAAAAAACTGAAAATTGGATTTTTGGCAGACATTTTTATAAAAAAAATTTAAAAATCACGGCTTTTTTTTCAAAGATTTATAATCAAAAAAAAGAAAAATAATAATAAAAAAAAATCCTTCGTCTAAGTATTTAAAAATTGTATCTCAAAGACCTGTATAAAATTACAGAAAGGTCGTTTTAGTAGTTCCCGAGAAATTTTGCGAACCGCCTTCAAAAACACAGTTTCGAGAAAAATGCGATAAAGACGGCGCACTTAGTCTAGCTAGCCTCGAGCGCACAAGTTTTCAAGGCTGCCTCTCCAAAACTATTACTCGGATTAACTTGAAAATTGAGGACAATATTCAAGAGGTTTTGTTAAATTTGATAATACATAATTTACAACCCCTTAAGATGGGTTAACTAGTTGAAGATGTTGGTTGAAGGATTAAATACGAGTAAAACTGTTATTTTGAAAAGTATAAATGACGATTTGGCTAAAAAAAAGATCTAAGTTCATTTTGTTCAACATATTTAATTCATTAAGACCAAAAATGTAAACGAGTTTTTGATGTAAAAACGGATTTCTCCATCAATTCGCCTGATCTCATCCCGGCCATGTGACTATTTTCTAATTACGAAGCTAAAAGACAACATAAAAGTAGCCGGGCCGCTGAAGAACATGCCTATAAATGACATGAAAAACTATGTATACGCTGGTTGATAGTTCCATACTTCTACAAGGTGCGTTCCAAAGTAAACAATCTAGCAGCGCACCCTGGTGGCGCTATTTCTATGTCAAAACATCGATTTATCGTATTTTAACCGAACATTTGGGCTTACGAAAGATGTGGGTTTGTTCCGCACAAATTCACTGACGACCAAAAATTGCTCAGAATCCAACATTCGATTCGACGCTTGTGACCGATTATTTGACCAAAAATCGCACTTTGCTCATTAACCACTATGGTTTGAAATAACCCCGTATTGACCTGAGATGGCACCGTGCGACTTCTTCCTTTTCGAAAAAATGCATTTGTCCATTAAAACAAAGCGTTGTGCAGGCGTAGAGGCCATTCAAAAGGCTTGCACCGGCATACTGGCGGTAAAATCGACCAGCGAGCTAAAACACTCGTTCGACATGGTCATTTGGACCGTGCAAAAAGCTGTATTGCGGCAGAAAAAGCCTACTTCGCATTAAATAAATTGATTTTGCCGAAAAAAACATTTCTTCTGTTTTTTTTTTTCAAAACTCCTGTTTACTTTGGAACGCACCTTGTATTGAGTTTAATAGAATTAGTTTTGATTAAATCCTTTTAAAACATAATATATTGTGTACTTTATTCTATATCCACAAAGTTTGGTTATTTTTCTGACACACCTTGTATGTTTAAGCATTTGGGTATCTACAAAATATTTTATTACAGAGTATTTCATAGATAAAAAGTCCCAGTAACTCGAAAAAATTAAAATATTCCTCAAAGCGCAGCAAAAAAGAAAAATCGCTCTCTTTGGTACATTTTTGTAGCATTTTTAAAGCACTCCCTTAATGGCAGCACCGCAGTGCACATTTTTATCGCGCACTTTACTTTTATATACTTACATAGTTTTATTATTACGACTATTTTCTCATTTGCCACACATATATAGCTATGTATGTAGGATGTATGCTATATATGGTACACTCACTGCCTCGAATGAAAATGGGAATCGCGCCAAAAATCAAAAGAATCAGGGCTATTATATGTATATTTACGCTTTTCACTTTTCCCACATATTTCTGTCCGTTTGTTTATTTTGTTCACTTATTTCACTTGTTATTTTATTATTATTTCTCTGTTTGCAGTATGCATCCTTCATTGTTATATATCTATGTATGTATATAGTGTATGTATGTGTACGTATAAAAATATGCCTACGCATATGTATGTACTTAAGTACGTATTTTATGCCCTTTACATCTACATAAGTCAATACATACATACTTATACATATGTATGTACCATATAATGATTGTGCTGTTGCAGAGTTATGTTGCACTTTCATATTTATAACTGCTTATTATTATAAATCACAGGAAATCACCATTAGTAAAGCTGAAGGCGAGCGCCTGGGTATGCACATTAAGGGCGGACTTAATGGTCAGCGCGGCAATCCGTGTGATCCCACCGACGAGGGTGTGTTTGTGTCGAAAATTAATTCAGTCGGCGCAGCAAGACGAGACGGAAGGCTTAAGGTATGTAAATAACTGCGTGTATGTATAAATAATAACTATATTCATTGCCAGAGGAAGTGTAATTTTAATTTAGCTGGACTGCGAATTTTTCAGTTGAAATTTTTTGGGTTAAAATTTGGATTAAAAAATTTAAAATCTGCAAAATCTTAATTATTAAAGGTGCTTGGGTATAAAGATTAAATTTTTAACTATTAATTCTAATTTTGAAATCAAAATGTTTGCAATTGAAGATAAAAATTTAGTAAATGCTTTCCAAATTAATAAATTAAAAATTGGGAAACTTTTTTTTAATTT